TGCACACAGGACCTCCGAGATTTTTCGCCCTTGTCCGAGAAGGCTAGGTGTAGATCTTTCCTACCAGAAGATCAGGGGTGTGGCTGAAAGACGGCAGTAAGAAGAAGCCAAGGAGTAGCAGTAGAAAGGCTGCAGAAAGAATCAGGAGCCCAGAGGAAGGGGCAAAGGAGGTGAGGGGGTGGGGACAGAAAGTGGAGACGAAAACAGACAACAGAACATTGCTAGTGAGCAGGAAATGAGGTGAAAGGAGACAAATTTAGAGAAGAAAATATTTCGGTTGCTACCAGGATTCGAACCCAGGACCTTTGAATGAGAGGCCAACACCTTAACCCCCGTGGCCACGAGAGCCCCCGCCATATAAATTCAATTAAGGAAACAGGAGAAAAAGGAAGGTAGTCACACACTGAAACCTGTGAGCTTGACAATTTTGAACGCTTGTAGAGTCCTAACTGTATTTCTGTTCAACTGTTGGTTGATTATTGTTGTTGTTAAATTTGCCATTCAATAACACTAAACAATAAACCACCTGTCAAACAAATACGAAGTTATGAGTTTACAAGCTTTTAATTAAAATTGGCATCCTCACAATATCCAGTCTGTGATTACCGTCGTTTTTCTCTTGTAGTCTTCAAATGTAAGGGGTGCTGACAAAATGAGTTACTCCTCGCGATCCAACAATGGATATATCAGCCGAAAATCAACACTGGGGTCAGAGTAATAGATTTTCAGTTGATGCCATTTTGTTCAAGTCTACCTTGTCTTTTATTATTCCATACTTACAAATTGTACAAACACCATCTATAAAGTTGATGTATCAATTTCCATGCGGCTAAAATCCTAAAGAAGTAACTCTTTTTGTCAGCACACCTCACAAATATTCTCAACAGTCGTCATTATCAGAGCAATGTCTCTCCCACCTGGTCTGTGCCTGGGCCAGGGTGTTCATGACGACCGACTTGCCTCCACCTGTGGGCCCGACGATCATGGTGCAGTGTCGGGTCAGCATCGTCTCGTACAGCTGCACCACTTTGTCCGCCTGCAGACGTCCACGTCAGACAGTGATTGTTTTAAAAAACAACTTTGCTATAGCCAGCGGAAACGTTTGCCACATTTAACTCGTGGATGACGCATATTAAGCTTATCTTTTAAAAATTTACTTTTTTTTTGGTAAGTGTTTTACGGCGTTCGCAGCTTCATAAATTTAAAAGAAAGCACGGAACACGTTAAACATTTTCAGTCCGTAGGACATTTTGAATTTTCTTCGGGTGACAGTCGAAGCCTGCTCTTATCGATTTTGGACCACAAAAAGATCTTTAACGTACTTAACGTGCACACAGGACCTACGAGATATTTCGCCCTTGTCCGAGAAGGCTAGGTGTAGATCTTTCCTACCATAAGATCAGGGGTGTGGCTGATAGACACCAGTATGAAGGAGCCAAGGAGTGGCAATAGAAATGCTGCAAAAAGAGTCATGATCCCAGAAGAGGGAGCAAAGGAGGTGAGT